ACCTCTCTCCTATTGAAAAACTTTTAAAATTTTTCTAACATTCCAGAGTCTTTTACTTCATATTTGCAGGACAGTTTTGCAAGAATCACAGATGCTTTATAAAGTCAAAAAGATGAGTCTGAGAAGTTCAAAGCACTGGTTATAGAAGGTCGTGTTCAGTTGCTAACCTCATTAGCCGTGAAAGCCAAAGCAAGTAACTTCCAATTGTGGAAGCTTTATTTAACTCATTCACAGATCAGGAATCATAAAATCAACCTCATGGGCATGCTGCAGTGACCTTCATTAAGATCATGCTCATCAACTTTTCACACAAAAAAATAAGTTTAACGAATGATATCTGTATTATCCACACTGGTACTTAACTTAAAACAGGAAGCCTCTCTCAAGATTTTGCTAACAAGTTATTCATTGTGAAATGACTATTTTATGTTATTTCACCTCAATTAAAAAGAGAGAGAAAAGACTTATTTAAGACAATCTATAAAGTATATATTTTCAGGTACATTTGGCAATGCCATTTCTGGTTTCCTCCAGACACCGTGTCTTACCCTCTGCTCCCTGATCCCTGCCTCTGTCCATTACCTTCCTCCACAGCACTGTTCATTCTAAGCTATCACTGTTTGATGATGAGTCTGTCTCCTTCTTACAAATGAGTTCCCAGTAAGGGAAGTCCCGGCATCCTCTGGTCACCTCTGTGTCAGCAGGCAGAGGGTTAGCACTGTTCAGTGAACATTGATTAATTTAATGAATGACTGTTAAATGCGTTGAATAGCTTAGCAGACTGGAGCTGATACCGTGAGAAAAAGAATTTTCTGAGGGGATATTTAAATTTATCCAGTGGAAAGCTATCACCCTTTGGAACTCTCAAGGGCACACCTGTTACATGAAAGCTTTTCACCTGCTAAGACTCTTAAAAACCAAGGAAAGTAAATACTTTGAAAAATAAAAGAATTTTTTTCAAAAGAAGAAATGGAGCTGAGCCAGGATTATGTTTCAATCCAAATACAACTAACTATTGCCAAATATCAGATGGTCAGCTGTACACAACATGGCCTCCACACATAATTAACTCTAGAATATACACAAAAAATCCATATACTTATAACTAGCCACTCACTTAGGCATGCACACATGTGTAACTACACAGTTATGCAGCAAATTGGACTTAAGTATACACTGTAGATCTCCTCCAAATAACCTATTCCAAAGCACGTGCATGGATTATAGATATAGACAGATGCAAAGACTGGCGGAATTTAGGCATATTGACATGGACACATACATGCTCCTTTAGACATGTAGATGTACATATGTAAACATAAACTGAATATTTACTTATGCACAAACGTACACCCCACAAAGGTGGTGCGTACATAAATTACTCTGTAAACATGGAAACAATGAAACATATGATAGACAGAAAGCCTGAGCACGCACACACAAGAAGACAAATAAGGATAATCACGTCAGAGACATCTGTGAAAAAGCACTGAACAAAATGATACCAGCACACAGACATCTAGAAGCACACTAGAAACTTATGAAGAAGGCTGACTTTCAGGAGAAGATAAAGAAAAAAAATGAGTAGAGTGTCACAAATAAGGGAAGGCAGACAAGGTCCAAGTCTTGTGTAGGCTCCAGGCCCATGCAGAACTATTTGAGTGTCGAATGCTAGTTTATTCACTTTTTTCTTTAGTACCAGGGATTGAACTCACAACCTTGCAGTTGCCAGGGAGCCACTTATGCCACTGAGCTAAATCACTGGCTCCTAGTTTACTCATCTTTAGATGTTCCTAATGCACCAGACTTCTAGGAGACTACTTCAGAGGTCCACTTCCTATTCATAGCTTGCAGGGAGTGTTAATTTTTGGCTGGGTTAAAGAAGGACTGGGGAAGGAGTGTCCCCAAAAAACTCTCTCCCTTATCCTTTCCCCAAAAAGAAGCTTTGGGAAGCCAGAAAATGTAAAAGCCAAGATAGAGCCTAAAGCGGTGGTGGCAAACCTATGGCACATATGTTAATTGTTTTTATTTTATGACAAAAGATGCTAATATATGAGTTTTTTTCCCTAAACTAAAACTCAGCATTTAGGTTTAGTTGCAATGCTAGCACTTAGTGAAAATAAGTGGATTTTGGTTGCAGTTTGGGCACTTGTCTCTGAAAGGTTCACCATTACAGGCTTAGAGAAACTCTCACCTGTTTCTTCTTATGAATTACTAAGTTCTAATAAAGTAGCTAACATTTACTGTGCACTTTCTGCTTTGAACTAAGCATGAATTAATTTATATACCTTCACCAAAATAACCTAACAGATAGATGTTGTCCTTTATAGGGCTCAAAGGTCATCCTCATAGGCAGCCAAAGTAGTCACCTGTTCAAGATCGCACAAAAGAGGGATAAGATTAGGACTCTAATTCATGCCCTAACATTGCCATTAACCACTCATCCAAATAGGAGTCCATTTATGCAGAAAAGGAAACAGAGGTCCAATGAGAGGGAGGAAATTTCTTGGGTTCACCACTAGATTGGTCTTCAAGCATGTCACAAGACATGGCCACTAGCATGTGCCCCTTCTTTGTGATTCAGATATTTATCTCTTTCTCCATGTTTCAATAAAAGTTCCAAAGATAAACACACTTGAACTTTGTGGCCCCGAGTACTTCTCCCATTTTTACCTCTAACCCAAAAGCCCATGGGAGCCTGTCTAAACAATCAGGGCCCTTTTGGTGCCAACTTCACTGAGAAACAAGTTCTCTGAATTTCTCCCTCTGTCCTCCCCAAGAGAGGGAAGAGAGAGCCAGGCCGAAAGCCAACCCAGGTGCAGCCTGGTAATCAAGATTATGTGATTAGTACCTGCCAAGCCTGTGCTAATCCTCCTCTCTACTTCTTTTTCTTCCAATACCAACAACTTGCGTCTCTGCTTTGTTCTCTCCCCACAAGTATCAAAATCCAGCAGCATAGAACCAGTAGAGCAAGATAAGTCCTGGGAGTGCCAATGCCCCCTCCTCCACTTGTCCAAAGTCACAGTTACTGAGACAGGGTGCAACCCTGGAGGTATAACCATCAAAGCCCACCTGGTGCCCAGTGTCCACATTGGCTCCTTCCCAGGGTCTACCTGAGGTCTATCTCAAGCCCACATAAGACTAATCTCAGTACCCCCCTAATGTTCATGTCAGTATCTCCTGGGACCAACTTCAGAGCCTGAAAAGTGTCAGCCTTAGACTTTATTGAAGGCAACATTAATGAACACTCAGGACCACTGTCAGAACCCTTTTGGCTCCACAGAGGTTGGTTCTATTATTCTCTTGGTGTCAAATTCAGGGCCAGATTCTTCCCTATTCCCAGCAGGGTATATACTTGGAGGCAATCTCAGTGCCAGGCTGATGCCCTTCCCTGCCAGGGTGTACTCGACACCAATATCTGTATCTGCCAGGGTAACCCACTGCTGATGCCAATTTTGGTATCAACCTCCTGTTAAGTTTGGTCCTCATTTAGCCCCCTGGGGTAGCCTAGGCCAGGAATAGAAAGGAAAAGGGGAGAATTCCCTCACTTACTACATTGGTGGCCTCAGTGAGGTAGATTATAAACCAGTACAAAGATTACAAAATTCAAAAGATCATGCACACATAGATTTAACAATCTTCCTAGAATTCCACGAGCTCACCAAAAGCCTGCAGAAGAAAAGAAGACAATAGGACCATTCATCCTTTCTCTACCCTGACCTTCACAGGGTCCACTTTAATTCTTCCTGGTGTTTAATTAAATATCTGCTGCTAGAGTTTCTTCTGCCTTCTAACAACAGGCCTGGAGAAATCAAGAATCACCCATAAGGATTAAGCACACTTTTAAATATGACCTTCAGTTCCTGAAATATTCCCTTGCAATGGGTGGGAAAATCAAAGTCCAGAAAGGGGAGACTGAAAGTAGGAGAGACAGAAGGTTAAGCCCCTTGCTGTATGTGTCCCTTTCTTACATGTGCTTCCTGCCTCCCTCTCTATAATGACCTTAGTGCACACATCTATGAATAGAAAACATTCATGATAACAATAACAACAATAGAAATGGTTCAATGAACCCAGTGAGCTTCCCTAATGACCTGGGAGGTTCAGTGGAGCTTTTTAAAATTAGGGAAATTAGGATTTTCCATCAATTTTGTGGTTGTTATTCTTTGCCAATGCCTGGTCAGTCCCTGTGCCAATGATGACCAGGAGGTGTTTTTCTCTAATTCTGTGTAAAGCTTCACTGAAATGTGACTCATCTTCCACTCTCTTCCCAGACACACATAAGCAATGGAGGCCTTAAGTTCTATGGTGTCCATCCTGGCCTTAGTTTGATGTTCCCATGAGGACTCTGGATACAAGAGACAGCACAGGGCCAAAGTCAACCAGGTCAATATACCTGGATTTAGGTGCACACTTCAGGATTCTGCTGGACTTGATCTTCCATACACTTTTTCTCCTGGGAACTTCATCACACCCAAAATTTTGGTTCCTTTGGTTCCTTCCTTTGAGAATAGGACTCTCAAAGCCATATTCTTGGAATTTCCTCTCCTGCCATCTATAAAACCTCATTAGAAGTCTCCTCATTAGAAGTCACTCCTCATTAGAAGTCTCCCAAATCCATAGTCACACATCATGTCTTATGTCAATGAAACTAAGTCCTTAGAATTCACCTCTCTTGAGACTCTACAACCCATGCTTTGGGGTCCTTCTCACTCTGAGATCTTTATCCAAAGCCCAGAAGTTCCCATGCAAATATTCCAAAGTTTTCAGTTATGGAATTTATCTACTGCCCCCACCTCTTTGTAACCCACAGCCTTGGTATACTTCCTCTGCGGTAAAGAGGCTACTCCCTGTTAATGTTCTCAGATATTCACCTTCTCATTTCCTGGCTGTGAGCCAAAGTAGGTGGGGTGCACACCAGGAAGCATAGTTAGGAGGTGAAATGTGACAATTATATAATCAGGACCAAAGGCGGTCTCTTCCAGGGAGTATAAAGGCAAACCATCTCATCCATCGCCATTTGTCTGTTACCCTCACTGCCATCATGCTGGCCTCAGGGCTGCTTGTGGTAGCTTTGCTAGCCTGCCTGAGTGTAATGGTTTTGATGTCTGTCTGGCGACGGAGGAAGCTCTTGGGGAAGCTGCCTCCTGGACCCACTCCACTGCCCTTCATTGGGAACTACCTGCAGCTGAACACGGAGCAGATGTACAATTCCCTCATGAAGGTGTCACCAGGCAGGGGGATGAGTGAAACTGGCAGGTTGTTGGGGTCTACCCATTTAGCTAAGGATTTGTGTCAGAGATTGGTACAGTGAACCAGAATCTTAGAATAAGTTTGTTTTGAAGGTTCACCAACCAGGTCTTCAGTCCCTTGACTGGAAGAACTACACTCTGGTACTTGACTTCTGGGTACTCCGTCCGTACAGACAGTGGCCCCTGTAACCACTTCCACCCACTCCCACCAGATCAGCGAGCGCTATGGCCCTGTGTTCACAATTCACCTGGGGCCTCGCCGGATCGTGGTGCTGTGTGGACAGGATGCAGTAAAGGAGGCTCTGGTGGACCAGGCTGAGGAATTCAGTGGGCGAGGCGAGCAGGCCACCTTCGACTGGCTCTTTAAAGGCTATGGTAAGGGGGGCATCACATGGGTGAGTGTGTCCAGGAAGACGGTGGTCTCAGTTTCCCCAACGTTTCCCACTGCCTCATCTGCCCAATCAAGACTGTGGAGGCTCTTCTCTTTCCTCCACATGCCTGTTGCCTCTAATATGCTTGCTTCTGATCCTAGAGTTTCTGTGCCTAATGATCCTGTTGGTAACATTTTCCTCTAACTTTATTTGATTTTTCTTTTTGTCATCCTTGGCTTTTGTGCTTATAATCCTCTTTCCCTTTTCCTCCCTTTCTTGTTCTCTGTGCCAGAATCTCAGAAAATGTCCACTCCCAAACCTCCTTCCCTCTCTCCTGGCAACTAGCTCTCTTCTCTCCGTGTTGTCTCTGTTTTTCTCCCCCTATTTTTCTTTCTTTTCCAGTTCAGTTTGGAGTCCTTCGCAATTTGGACTTCCACCTCCAGCTCTGCAGCCTCACTTCCCCTCCTTCTGTCATCCACCTTTTCACTCTCATTCTTTCCATCCTGCCTTTTATTGGAGTCTCTGTGTCTGCTGCGTCTGTATTGCCACTAGGTTGCTCCTCTGATTGCTTTCTTTGATGTGGTCTCTATGTCTTTTTATAGGTTTCTCATCTAGAGTCTGTATCTCTAGCAGTGCAGCCCTCTGGTTCTGTATGCATCTCCCTCTATCTCTGCACAACCTCACACCTTTCCAGGAGTCCTTTGAGGTGGTCCGTGTCTTCCTCCCGCCCTCCTTTCTGACAACTCCCTTTCCATGCACTCACCTCCGCAGGTGTTGCGTTCAGCAACGGAGAGCGCGCCAAACAACTCCGGCGCTTTTCCATCACCACGCTGCGGGACTTTGGCGTGGGCAAGCGCGGCATCGAGGAACGCATCCAGGAGGAGGCGGGCTTCCTCATCCAGGCTTTCCGGGACACGCGTGGTGAGCTGTAGCTGCGCAGGGCTCGGGAAGGAGAGGGAAAGAAGTGCAAGGCCTGCGCCTGCAGGCAGGCTGGGAACTGGGTGGGAGAAGAATGTCAGGCTTCCTGCTTGCGGTCTGGCGCCAGGAGTTCGGCTGATCCCTGCAGTTCTGTATCCACCTCTCTTAAGGCAGCCCCATCTCCCCGCCGTTTCCTCCCTCCCAAACCCTGCAGGCGCGTTCATTGATCCCACCTTCTACCTGAGCCGTACAGTCTCCAATGTCATCAGCTCCATTGTCTTCGGGGACCGCTTTGAGTACGAGGACAAAGAGTTCCTGTCGCTGTTGCGCATGATGCTGGGGAGCTTCCAGTTCACGGCTACCTCCACCGGGCAGGTAAGCTGCTGGCTCTAAGTTCCCTGCTACGACCTGCCAACCCCGTCCCCACCCAGCCTCAGGTGTCCCAACCACCCACCCCCTCCACACAAGGTCCCCTAAAAAAATCTGTCACTGAGGGAGACAACAGCAGTTCCACCAGAACCCAGCACAGGTGTCCAATATCCAGTCTCCAAGGACATCTGGATATCTCAAGGTGCCCCAAAAGAGAACCTGTGGACAAGCTAGATGCTTAAATGCCTGAGCACGTGGACAGGTGCTGAAATTAAGATTCCACATATGAATAGCCAGGGCAGGATGTTCCCCAAACACCCAAAGAAGTGTCATTTAACACAACTCACTCATATACAAAAAAATTTTTCTGTGCAGCTCACTTGAATATTAGACAGGTGAACGGTATTCCCCTTACTTTCACACCTGAACACCAGCCCTTCTTTTATTCCTGAAAATATTTAAGAAATCTCCAATCCAAATCCTATAAACATATGAACAACTGTCCCCAGTTGAGCTTTCCTGAATGCCTAAACACATAAATAAATGACCTCTCATGAGAATCCTACTGGAAAATCTCCACAACCAGGTATCTTGCAGTGCATCCTTACCTGAATACCTGAAACCAATATGTGTACTCCAGGCCATTGCACCTAAACTCTTGGACAATAACCCTCATACTTAACCTTTATGAAAATTTATATATATGGTGCCATCCAATCCCACCTGAATCCTAAACACCTAGAAAACCGCCTGATTCCCATGCTTTCCTTGCCCTGAGACAGTTTTCATCCACTGGGTCCTGGCACTGACAGGTTTCTTTTCTTTGCTTCCTCTCTCCACAACCCTCAGCTCTATGAGATGTTCTCTTCAGTAATGAAGCACCTGCCAGGACCGCAGCAACAAGCCTTTAAAGAGCTTCAGGGGCTTGAGGACTTCATAACCAAGAAGGTGGAGCAGAACCAGCGCACACTGGACCCCAATTCCCCAAGGGACTTCATTGACTCCTTTCTTATCCGCATGCTGGAGGTGCAACCAACAGCCAGGGTGGGGAGGGCCAAAGCCAGGTAGGGAGGAGGGGAGCAGGAACCCATTCACAGGACCCCTCACCAAAATGATCTTCACCATCCCAGTCATGATTAAATACCATTTTTCCATTTCCTGGGTCCTTATGCACAGGTAGAATTTGTGCATGAAAATTATGACAGTAACTGCCTGTACAACACTGCTGCAAGCCAGGAATTATATTATAAGTTCTTGATGGTATCTTTTAATCATAACAGATCTTTAACAGGGTTTTGTTATTATGACTCCAATTTTACAAACGAGGAAACTGTAGACCAGAGAGCGTACATGGCTTCCCTGGGGTCACAAGGAAGCAGTGAGCTCTAGCTCAAACCTGTTCTCTCTTAGACTGGTGCCCTTGACCACTATGCTCTGTATCCTTTTGTACCCTAGTCATCAGATACACCTGTTTGGACAGGTGGCTGGCCTCACAGGTGTACTAAATGGAAGGTCCTCACCCTCGTATCTCCTCAGCCTTCCATCTGTGCATATTGGAGATGAAGTTTTATGCAGTATAAAATTAAAAGTTTCAAAGGAAAGGATTCTTCCACAAGAAGCCTCAAGATGTTTAGTATAGCAAAGGATGCTGTCACTCAAAGTCCTCAGTCTGTCCCAGAAACACTTCCTTACTCTCACTGACTCACTCCACCTTGACATTTCTGCCCATCTTTCTCAGAGCAGTTCCTTAACCCTAATTTTCTAAATATTCCTACCATTTAAAAAATGATGACTGAGCTGATCATTAAATAACAGATGGCCACCTACATGAAGAGTGTGGAAGAGCATTTCAGGCAGAGGCAGCAGCCTGGGTAAAGGCCTGGAAACTGGAGAGGGCCTGGCAGATCGGGGGTCCCCGTTCCAACTTTAGGCCTGTTTATGAGAGAATTGGGTCAAAGTAGAACTCCAAGGGCATGAGACTAGGCCTCACTGAAAGCCCTCTTTCCCTGCAGGAGAAGCAGAACCCCAACACAGAGTTCTACATGAAGAACTTGGTACTGACTACACTAAACCTCTTCTTTGCGGGCACAGAGACTGTCAGCACGACCCTGCGCTATGGTTTCCTTCTGCTCATGAAGCACCCAGAGGTGGAGGGTAAGGCAGAGGAAGCAGGGAAGTGGAGACTACAAATCCTTCAACTCCCGTGAACCTGCTCTACAAGGACCCCACTTCTTCCAGGTCCCTGGACACTCAGACACACCCTCCTGTGCAGAGATAAGGCAGTACTGAGCAGATAGAAAGAAGCTGAATTTCGCTAGTTGATAAAATCATGGAAGGGTGTGAACTGATCAGGAAAATTCTTCTGTGCTAAGCTCACTGCTAGCTTCCTCCCACATCCCTGGTCATCCCCTTCTTTTTGCCTCACCTCTGATGTTGGCATGATTAGATGAACAGGATCCTGCTCCAGCAATGTGTATGGCAACATTTTTTGAGTGTCTACAAGCTTGTGTATATAGATGCTTGTAATGCATCCAGTTTTATAAATCACTTGTGTCCATACCCCTGATTACCTAATACATTCACTCTTTCCCTCTAGCCAAGATCCATGAGGAGATTGACCGAGTGATTGGCAAGAACCGTCAGCCTAAGTTTGAAGACAGGGCCAAGATGCCCTACACAGAGGCAGTGATCCATGAGATCCAAAGATTTGGAGACATGATTCCCATGGGCCTGGCTCGCAGGGTCACCAAGGACACCAAGTTTCGAGACTTCCTCATTCCCAAGGTGCCACTATACAGTGCCCTATACAGTGCACTACACAGGGATCATTGATCCATTCCCTGGGGCTCTACCACCCTATCCCCATTAGAAGCTTCCCTGCTCATGTCCTACTCCCTCAATCAAGGATTTCCTCAACCACTATATATTCTTATTGTTGGCATTCAGAGATCACTGTATCCCTTGTCTCTCTCCCTCTGATGCCTCAGAGAATTTAACTCCTGTCTCAGGGACTCAGACATTCTCCAGAGCTGCTAACTCTGTGCTTCCCAATTTCCTTCACTAGGGAGCCCTCTAACACCTTTCAACACATTCATCTCTCAACTCTTAGCAATTCCCTCTTCCCTGCCAGGGCACTGAAGTGTTCCCTATGCTGGGCTCTGTGCTGAGAGACCCCAAGTTCTTCTCCAACCCCCGAGATTTCTACCCTCAGCACTTCCTGGATGAGAACGGACAGTTTAAGAAGAGCGATGCTTTTGTGCCCTTTTCCATTGGTAAGAGTCTATTTCTTGCTGCTTAAATACTGCCCAGACCATTGGGGACAGCTTCTTTGGGTTCCCCTTATGTAAGGTGCAGCCTGTGTCTTTCTCTAGCTGGGAAGTTTCTCTTGGATTCTACTGTTTGGGAAACCTCTTAAAACCCAGCTTCTAATGTGTATCATGTGTCTATACCCAGGAAAAATGAAAGAGATGATTAAACATCATTTAGAGACAGAAAGTGAATGGGCAGAGTGAGTTAGATTTTTCCAAGGATACACAATCAATTTTTCAGATTCTAAGAAAAGAGACTTAGGCCCATGCTTAAGTGTATATTTGAAGAGAAGGGGCATCTAAACTTCCTGTTGCTAGAGCCTGACATCAATCACTCTACTTCATGTACAAGGAAACTGAAGCTCTGAGAGATTTCAAGGCTTCTGGAAAGGCCTCTCAGGCCACAATAATGCAGCCTTTATTTCCCAGGACAATGTGACTGGGCTTCAGTGTAAAGGGAGGTTTCAGCGAGCCCTCGTTTCAGCAGCACCCTTCTTTCTTCTCCTCCTCAGGAAAGCGATACTGTTTTGGAGAAGGCCTGGCTAGAATGGAGCTCTTCCTTTTCCTCACCACCATCATGCAGAACTTCCGTTTCAAGTCCCCACAGGTGCCCAAGGAAATTGATGTGTCCCCAAAACATGTGGGCTTTGCCACCATCCCACCCAACTACACCATGAGTTTCCTGCTTCGCTAAGTCGGCTGTGCCAAGGCAGAGACGGGAAGGAAGGGGGGTGGGACAGGGCTATGAGAGTGGCTAGTGGGTAGAATATGGCTGAGAGAAATGTTGGGGCCTGGGATCTCTATGTTTCCACAAACAAGCGCTACACAAAAAGCTTTCCCATGCAGACACTCAGAGAATTCATCCTATTATAAGGACTATAATAGAGATCAAAAAATGGGAAGGGGTCTCCTGTTCTCTGAACCCTACAGGATTCATAATTAGCTATCATTATCATGTTTCTCAATTTATTTTATCTATGTCTTACAACATAGAATCTATGAATGGGCTTACTTGTGCTTTCTAAAATAAGGATAAGGATAAACCTATAGAAAAATATCATTACCGATGTGTTGGTTCCCAACCCATCAGAATCAAACTGCACTCATCCATGTGCATGTCTCCTTAAGAGGCTTCAGCAAACTCTGTTCAAGAAATCTTAAGAACTGTGGAGTAACCAAACTATCACCACAACTACCGAAGCTAAAATTAAAAATCTTGGAATCTCAGATATCTAAGATTCAGATATCTTAGACTCAAAACCTTTGGGTCATTCATGCCTGGAATTCTTGGCACTCAGAATTTTTATCAGAGGTTTCCCTGCACATATCTTTGGGAATCAAATTCCAAGCCTTTTGGCAGTGGGGAACTTACATCCTTCAAACCCAATGTTCCTTCTCAGAAAGAGTCATGAATAGAACGAGGGATTGGAGCAAGTGAATGTTACCAGTGAGACGTGCCTCTTGGGTAAGGCACAGTAGCTAGTAGGCCTCATAAATTCACATAATCCTCAAACCTAAATGTGGGGGAAAGCAGTGTATCATGAAGGTGTTCTGGGGTGCTGACAGAAGCCACAGTCTAGTCACCCACACCTAGTTCACGCTTCTCCAGACACTCTCAGCTCTGAAACTCTTTCAGGGCTAACACCAACTGTTCTGTGGGAGTGAGATGACAAGAGGAGCCTTGTTGTTATTCTTTTCAGTTCATGGTTGTGACATGTAACATTTACAGTCAATGTGGTTATTTGGTTCCTGTACATGGCATATCTTAATTTTTCTTACTTCTTCTTGTCTTCCCATTTTCCTCTTGCCTGTAGTTTCCTGACCTCTTTCCATTTGCAAGCAAACTATCTGCTTGCTTCCTTCTATTTCTCTCTCATTTTGCTCTTTGTATTTTGCCTTACTCAAATGAAAACTATCATATGGTATTTGTTATGGTTTGTGTCTGGATGTCCTCCCTAGAGTCTCATGCAGTCATGGTAGATGGACTGTTTAGAGGTGGCTGAATCTAGAGTTTGTGACTGATTTATGATCTTATACTGGGATTAAGAGTGTGAGTGCTACACCTACCTTAGGGTGTGTAGTTTATATACAATATAAGGAACAGAAAGAGGCTTGCTGTTTCCTCTTCTCTTGCTGGTTTTGGTGTCTTCTGCTGCCAGGCTACTCTGCTTAGAGCCAGCCCATTATGGATTGAAACCTCTAAAACCTGTGAGTTAAATAAACCTCTCCTCCTTCAACCTTGGATGTCAGGCATTTTGTCTCAGCAAGGAAAGAAAAGTTACTAAGCTTGTATGTCTGATTTATTTCACTCAATATTATATTTTCCAGGTGCATTCATTTTCCAACAAATGTCTCAAATTTGTCATTTTTTAAATGATTGAGTAGTATTCCATTATATATAGATACTATACTTTCTTTGTGATTGCCTTATTCATGCACAATTTCAGATCCTGACAAGTGTCCTCAAAGCAACTGAAGTGCTCTGCTGACTCTAATCTACCATGATGAATCTCTCACCAAAAACTATTATGATATAGTGATGGCTTGTGATATTAGTGTATGTGATAGTATTAATCTCTAAATTACAGGAGATGGAACTGAGTCTTTCTGAGATCCCTTTTGCTTTTACAGTCTCTGGTATAAACTTTCCATGATTTACATCTATACAGGGAAAGGGAGTAAGAATATTTGGGAACTTCCCTCCCTCTCCCTGCCTGAGCAAAGCCAGACCTTACTCTTATAAAGTTTTAAAAGAAAAATGGTTTTACAGTCATCCAGAGAGATGAGATAGAAGAGAAAGAGAAAAAATACTACAGAGTAACAGAGACTAGAGGCTGCCAGAAAACCCTAAAGGGAGACCCAGAGAAACTGAGCCTAGAGACTGAAATTTCTACACAGCAAGTGACTTACACAAGGACAGAAGAGCAGAGAGAGACACAGGGAATGGGACAAAAGACTGTAGATACTGAGAGACACTGGAGAAAGTGTAATAAGAGGTCTCTTATTCTTGTTGCTTGACTCTTCCTCTTCATCTTTTCCTCTCTTTTCCCTTCCTTATCTCCCTCTGTCCCTTCTCTATTCTCTATCTCTGCATCTCTTCCCTTATTTGTTTTTTTCTTCTGAACTCATCTTTACACATTTCTGTATATGTTATACTCTCTGCATCTGTTCATGGCTGGTATCTGTATGGGTTTTCATCATGTGCCTCAGTGCTGCATTGAACAGGGTACAGCTTGGGGAGGAGGGTCCCAGAGCTGTCCTCATTGTAGTCAAGGTTCAGGCTGTACAGCAGGGAATTCCTTATGGTCCCCAAAGGCTGACATCAGAGATGTGGGACGAGGGGAACTAAGGACTGGGGATTTAGATAAGGATAGTTTTGGAGTATAGGTTGTCTCTCTTTTTTCATTCCCCTTGAACTTCTGAGTTGCAGACAATGTAAATGACTGTATTCTCTGAAATAGTACTATTCTGTAATAGATTGAGAGCTACTATTTCTGTAATAGACTGAAAGTCACAGATATGTTACTCTCAGATGCAATCTACTTTAAAATCATGAAACTACATTTTCCACTCCAGTAGAATGTACTATTTCATGAAGGTTGAGATTTTACTGACAATTGGGTTTGTGAAGTTTCAACTACAAGTGTTCCATTGGTATTTAGTAAATGATTTCTCACTCTGTGAATAACAAACCAAATAGTCAAAAAGCACTGCTAAAGTAAATTGACTGCAGGGAGAAACTGCAAAACTCACAAATACGTGGAAATTTTAAAACTCACACTTAAAATATCTTTTAATGGGCAAATAAAATTGCAATTTATGAAGCAGTTTACCATGTTTAGATATATGTATATATTGTGAAATGGCTGAACATGACAATGAAACAATATTTATTTATAAACAGTAGATGGAAGAATATATAAACTATATAAAATAATAAAAGATGAAAACAAAACATAATATATAAAACATACGGAATCCAGCAAATGCATCTGAGTGGACAGCAGCAAATTAAAAGCAAAAAGACATATTAAAAATGATGAAAGATATAATAACTTTAAAAACCAGATTAATTTATTTTAAATGGCAAATTATCATATATTTTATATGACATAATGTTTTGACATTCATCAAATCAATGATTTAACTCTATAGTATATGGTAGTAAAATTTTGCAGACTTAATAGAAGACACATAATTATGGGACTATTTTATAATATTCACCCAAAAAGTCAAATGCAGAAGAGTGCAAGAGATCTGTCCATACACTTGAGATCCAAAGAATCCAGCTGAGGGTCAGGATCCCACATCAATGTCCTGCATGAGTCCAGCTGAAGACCTAGAGCCCATGGCAGTGTCCTCCACCAGTCCAGCTGGAAGTCTAGACTTTATGACAATGTCTAATGCAAGTCTGTATTGGTCCCAAAAATGAAGTGTGGTGGATGAAAAGTAAATAAGGGAGAGACAAAGTTATGAGATCAGGATGCTACAGTCTCTAGGACCAAAGCCCAAATTACACTTTTCTCTGGCTTTTGATTACAGCATTTTTTTTTTTTACAACGCAGAAGGATGTCAGAAGGGCAAAATACAGAGTGGTGAAAACTTAATTGTTTAACTATTCCACTGACCTTTTTTTTGGCTATGCCTGGCCTACATGTTTACCATTCCTTTGGATACTTCTTAGCAAGGTGTCTTGTTGTCCTAGCAGCATTCCACTGAGACTCAATGTCCTGCATTAATTTCCTTTAACACAAACATTTGTAAGGCTTCCTCCAGAACAATCAGATGGCCCCGTAGAGCACAAAGGCCCTGGGGTAACCTCAGCTTCAAGGAGGGTAAATTAATCTATGACCCACAGATCAGTACTGGGAAGGGCAAAAGGTCAGTGGTGGAAGAAAAAAAGTCTGTACTAGTGAAATAAAGAATTTGTACTAGCAGGCTAAAGGATCTTTCCTGGATACTGGAAACAATGCTCAAGGTAAGGTTCAGAGATTCCTTAAAGAGAACTGCAGCCATCCTCGGTGGCAATGAGTACCCAAGCTCCTCCAGTGAAAGCCAGCATGACAGCAGGATTCCTCTTCTCCAAGATAATCAACAGCACAGCATTTTCCCCTCCAGTTTTTCTTTTATACTGTTGGCAGCAATTCTCAGATGGGCTATCCATAACCAGCAGCATGCTGATTCAGTTCAGCCTGGTGTTACAAGTCAATTCATTAGTTAATCCACCACACATTACAAAGGATATGAATAAGAAGAGAAGATTAAACTAAAACCAGCACAAGGAATTAATAAAGAGCAAGGGTTAATAATATAGATCATAGAAAACCTGCAGTGAAAATTATTAAAATCAAAAGTTGCACAAGGTACAGACTTTATAATCAAAGTAAAATTGCAGATCCACATTCTTGAAAAACATACAAACAAAAACCCTCAGCACAATCCTAATTTATCAAATTCAATGGTATATTGAAAAAGTAAACACCATGACTATGTGAAATAACCCTATCATGCAAAGTGATTCAACATCAGTGTGGGACATGATGGTGAATGCCCATTGTCCTAGCGCTTTGATAGGCAGAAGTTACAGGATTCCAACTGAGTTCTGTCAAGGCCCACTCAGCAAGATGCTATCTCAAAACAAAATCAAAGTTTGGAATGTAGCTCAGTGGTTAAGGTCCTGGGCTTAATCCCCATTACTAAAACAAAAACAAACAATATCTCAGTATGATATACTAAAAATAAAAAGAAAATAAAAAGTATGATATACTAAAAATAAAAAGAAACCACACAGTATCTCAATTTATTCAGATCTTACATAATTCAACACTCTTTTATGATAAAAACACTCAGAAACAGGAGCTTCCTCAAGCTGGGAAAAAAAAGATGTTTATTATAACATATTCACATTACATACACCTTTCAGTGGCACAAGACTGAAAGTTTCAACCTTAAGATTGGGAAGCTAAAAATACATGCTTTTTCCACTGCTGCTTCTCATAGCTCTGGAAGGTCTACCCAGAACATTTAGACAAGAACAAAGAAAGTCTTCCAATTTAAAATAGAGGTGAAAAAATTTGAAGCATAAACATAAAAGCTATTGAAAGCATTTATAAAGAAGTTCAACAAAATTTTAGGTTACAAACACCACAGACAAAATCTGTTGTGGTTCTAGACACAAACTGTGTGTCACCCAAAAATGAACTGATAAAGATTCAACCCTCCACCCCTAGGAATCTCAATGTGATCTGGAGGAACCTAGGTGTCTGGCCCATTCCCCTACACAGTGGGATGGGCATCCAGTGCAGGAAGTGCCATGGCCTTGGCCATCAGCTCACCCAGAGGAACCCAGGGTAAATATACTCTAACAAGGGGAAGCACTTTGCATGCAAGCTACTAACTTAGGACTACGGTCTAAGGTACAAAATCAGTTCTTATCAGTTTGTCAGTTTCTAAACTGTGCTTGATTCCATCATTGTTGCTAATTGTAGCTAGGATATCGCATCTGTTGTAATCAGTTGTTCTGCCTTGTGTAACAATATTAGGAAGCTCTGGGATAATAATCCCAACACAGCCCTATACCAAAAGACTCGGGACGAGCCAAACAGAAACCAACATTCCACTCTCAATTAACTGAGAAAGTAAGGTCTTGAAACAGACACAAACCAAGAAAGTGCTATACACAGAAAATATCCATGAAGAACAGACTTTTCTTTGAGAGGCCTTGATATAGTGATAGTGCTACCTACCACCAAAACTCACAAGGATCATAACAGAAAACAAAATAAAAATTTTTGAAATAGAAAAGGTCCAGACAAATGAGCAAAATGCAATCTTATGTCTTTAGCCCACCCAGAAAAAATCCAGGAGATATTGACAAAGAATAAATTTGAAGTCACATACCTGAAATTTCTAAAATAATAGCAGCTGAAGTAAAGAAGCAATACCATGAGGCTGCAGAGTATATCAGATCAGATATAAACTCTGTAAAAAAGTAAAAAAAGAAATGAAAAAATTTCTTTTTATAAATGAAATAATTGCTGAACATATCTTTAAAAGACACAGATAAAAATAGAGGAACACAGGAAAATTATGGAAACTTTGAATGAACAATATAGGCAAGAATTAGCATGCATGAAACAGATTCAAAGAGACATTCAGGGAATTAAAAATTTCATTGGAAGCTGGCAAAACAGCTTGAATGAAACTGAACATAGACTTCCAGACCTTGAAGTATCAT